AATTGGTTTTCCCTTCGTTGGGAGCAGCGCTGGGCTGTTCAAATCACAGACAAACAGTATCCCACATTCTTGATTTTTAGTTCACAAACACTTCTTGAGTAACTACTCCTGACATTTTGGAGATGTGAGCTCTTTATACAGTAAAGTTACAGTGGGATACAAATAATATCAGGCTCATCCTGCTACAATTTTTCCCCCTGTCTAAATCACGGACAAACAGTATCCCACAGTTGTTTATGTTTTTAAACCCATTTTGCACAGAGAGGCATTTTTTGAAAAATGTATTGATAGCAATGTTGAATATTATAGTGCAACATCTTTCTTGTAAAACAAAAGGGGACCCAGCAAAAAAAGTTTGGGAGTCACTGTTGTAACCAATCCAGGCAGTGCACAGGTTGGTCAGCCTAGCCTTGCAGTCTCAGGTGACTGTTCTACTGGTTTTTCGCTCCTCTGATATTCTTGACAATTCCTTTCTGTGCCACGCTCATGTGCTTATGTGTGTGTGTATAAATATAGTTATATTATCTTAGGTATAGTGGTTGTATAGTAGTGTTGGACAGAGTAAGACGGCCATAGTGATAGACATAGCGATACCAAATGACAGCAACATCAGGAAGAATGAACACAAGAAACTGGAGAAGTTCCAGAAAATGTGGAGGGTGAAGAGCCACATGGCAAAACATAGAAGAGCCACCTCGGCAGGACAAGGTTCAGCTGTTCATCTGCACCTAAAGGACAAAGGTCACTCTTTCAAGGATGCCAATGTTCACATTTTGGAAAGAGAAGACAAATGGTTTAAAAGGAGAGTGAAAGAAGCCATATATGTCCTCTGTGAACGGCCACCTTTGAACAAGGTTAGCTGCTTACAACACCAGTTCTCTGCCATCTATAATCCAGTTTTGAGATCCCTTCCCAGACACCTTAACACCCACCCACATCCTTGGCCATTTGACCTCAGTAAATCACATGATAGGGTGGGGCTAGCTTTCATGGTGGGTTCACCTGAAACCTTGGCTGATTGTGACCCACACCCGTTTTCACACCTTTGCTCATGTGATTAGGTAGAGGACAAATAGGGGGTCCATGTCCCTCTTGGGGAAACTCCCACAGGGCTTAAAATCTGGGACTCTCCATTTGACCTTAGAACTGAAGAAGCTTCTCGGATGAGAGGTGAAACGTCTTAAAGCAACTTAAAGAAGTCCAGACACTTTTCTTTCCAAGCTACTTAGACTAAGATGACCTGGATCACTGAGACCTTTCACAGACATACAATATATGAAACAAAGGTGAGATTTTGTGTTTGACTTAAATGTACTGTGTGAAAAGCAGAACAGAAACTATCATGTCATATTTTTACAAAAACAAAAAACAGCAGCTTTATCACTTTATTTGCTGAAGTGAAGAGATGAATGCTCTACAGTGGCTTTTGTTGTCCCTGTGCATTTGCTCCAAGGGTATGTGTGTTCTGTATAATATATAAATTCTTAAAATATACAGAGTTAAACAGTATGTGATTTGTTTTGTTTTTTTTTATCTTATTTAGCTGAGGAAAAAAAATCATTATTAAGATTTTGTCCTGTGCATTGTCTTCCTCTTATTAGTTACCCTGTTTTTGTTCTTTTC